TTTTTGTTAATAAATTTAAATGGCAACAGCTAACTAGGAATGCTAAAGTTCCCATTGCAGTGCCAACATCTGAAGCAAACTTGTTGGTGACTGAATTCTCTTCTATTAAGGCATCAAACTTAGTTTTAAAAATGATTATTTTTGCCCTGACCAGTGTGGCTCAATGGATTGAGTACCAGTCTGTGAACCAAAAGGTTGCCGGTTTGATTCCCAGTTAGGGCATATGCCTGGGCTGCGGGCCAGTACACAAGAAGCAACCAATCTACATTTCTCTCACACATCAATGTTTCTCTCCCTCTCTTTCTACCTCCTTTCCCCTCTCTCTAAAAGTAAATAAATAAAATCTTAAAAATATTTTTAAAGAGTTATTTTATTTGGCCCAGTTTTCTCAGGTATAAATTGAGGAATATGGAGTCTCTTCTAGTTTGAAAAGTTAATACACTTATTTTATCTTGACAAATCATAGGAACTTGTTATGAATTTTGTTGCCATTTATGGTAAGATAAACTTTATGTAATGGTACTTACTAGATTTTTGAAACCCTTTTTAGTCTAAGCCTATATTCTGCTAGGTGAACAATAACTATTAGAATTCACATTTACTATAATGCAAAAGTGAATTACAATTCACATTTACTATGATGAAAAAAGTTAATTTCATGTTTTACCAGTATATACATATATATCAAGGAAGAATTAATAAGAGTTGTTATAATATTTAATATTTTGCAATCAGAATTTGACCCAGTATTTCTGTTTTGTGGGACTTAGCCTGTGGTTATGTCAACATACATGTACAAGATTGTTTAATGCACTCATGTGTGTTATAGCCAAAAATTGGGGGAAAATTAAATATATGTTAAAATGGACTGTTTAAGTAAGGGCATAATGAGATAGATCTGTGTAAGTGAGGGATGCGCTAATGCAGGGAAACCTCCATTACACATGGCTCAGTGAAAAGTGCAAGATGAAAAGCCGTATCTGCATATGGTCCTGTTTGTGTAAATAAAATGCTGTGAAAATAATTTACATACACATTGGGGGTGTGGCAAAAGTAGGTTTACAGTTGTGAGCACACGAAGCACAGCGGTTATTCTTGCACTGCTGCTTATTAATTATTGTGTTATTTTTCATGTGAACAACTGCATGCCTATTTTTGCCCCACCCTGTATATCTGTCTGTATACTGGTATCTCCTCACAGTATTTTTTTGAAAAGTTATGCACTGAACAGTGCTTCCTCACACTGAGAAAGGTGCTTTTGGGGAAAGAGAGTAAGATTGGATGGCTCATCTAAAGTTTAAGTATTTAAATAAATGTTGTGTCTTATTTATGTTTTAAGGCTGGAGCAATCTTTATAACAGAGTCAGAAAAAATTGAATTATAGGTTAGTTTATTGATATAAAGCTGCCAAATAAAATTTTATTTAACCCAAACTGAAACTGTGATGAAAATATTTCAAGTAGAGATTTTCTTAGAGAGAAAGTGAGAGTTGAACATGACAAAAACTAGCAATGTAATCAATTACATTAATGACCTAAAAGAAGAGAATGGAGTAATTATGTTAGTAGATGCAAAAATAAACATTGTTAAACATTTTTATTTAAAAAAGTAAAAATCTCATAAGTGATGATAATGGAAAGGAACAGAATTCTTTGTGGAAAGCAACAAGTTAAGTGTTTATAATGGGCTAATGTGCAGAAGCCAAACACACACACACACACACACACACACACACACACACACACACAAATTTATATAGAATAAAATAGACAAGCATGAAAGAGACTTATTCTATAAAATATTTTATATAAAATTGACACACAAAATAGCAGTGCATGTTTTTCAAGACCCTATACATATATTTGTAAGTCAGGTGACTGAAAGGACATAAAGTCTGCATGTTACAGAGGGTACAATGAGAGAAGGGGGAATAACTCTGAGAACATGGGTTGAAAGAGGCAAGTAAGAAAATAAAATGAACAGGACAGACAAAAAAAAGAGCTTTGCCTTGACTGATGGTGATATAATGTCATGATCTGACCAGTGTGATCAGAGAGATTCTCTACACTAAACACATGAGACAAGAATGTAGCATATACCCTCTAATGAGCAGAGGACTGCAAAATAAATTGTGAAAGTGTTCTTTGATTGTTTTGTTTTGTTTTGTTTTGTTGTGTTGTGTTTTTGGAGCTGGAGTCCAAAAAGTAAGGACAGAGCACAGGGGTCATGCACAGGGACCTACATTTCTGTTCTACCACCTACCACTTCTCAGACCTCAGTGGAATCACTTACCACACCACCTCTTAGGTTCTTAATCTGAAACACAGGACAGTAATATTTACTTCCCTGGGTTTTGTGCAAAGTCAGTGAGATAATATATGAACTGTGAATACCATAAATGCCCAGCACATAATGTGTTTTAACAAATATTTGTTCTGTCTTTCCTCCAATCCTATACCAACCCCTCCCCCACCAGTAATTTCACTGTGGATGCACACACCCTGTTGGAGGGGATTTCTAGAAAAAACTATAGCTGCTTCTGTAAGTTATCACTCCCTTGATACTCACTGAATTTTTCAGAAAATCTTCCACTCTTCAGTCCTGTCTCTAAATTACACAATCTGTGATAAAGCTACTTATGGTGGCTAATAGGGCCAATCAAAAAGAGGAGAAATGTAGAACTATTATAAGTGAAGAATTGCACATTAACTTACTCAGTCTGCATAAACTTGTAAGTAATGTTTGATGAAACTATTAGTTCTGTCATAAAAAGGCTGATACATGTTGATGTAACTTCATTTTAGCTTTGCAATTATAGCACGTATATCATCCTCTCTATATTTTTATAATTAATGATGGTACTGCTATTTTCTTCCATAATTGAACATTTATTGGGAGATTACCCACTGTTTGACTGATGTACTTCATCCTCTATACTTTTTTCCTATGGTGTCCCTGCAGTTACGATCCTCATAATTTATAGAGTTTACATTCGTCTTGCTGATGTTTTGCATTCCTACCTACCACTTAGTCATAGAATAAGGGTAAGAGAAATCTCTGTAAGAGTGAGCTTTTACCTAGGTGATTAGCAATGGTACTCTGAGAATAACCACCTATTTTTGATGCCACTGATGCATTCCAACAAGGCACATGCACCACTGCCTTACATCACAGTGGGCCTCCTTTATATGAAGTATTGACTGCTCGGTAACAGTTAAAGGGATGTTTCATCAGAAGGAAGTTCAAGGCTTAGGAGTCTGGGGCATAAGTGCAAGTTCCTTGACAGTGTGTTTATTAATCAATCAGAATATTACATTCCACTGTTGAGACTCTGTTGGGATTGTGGGTTTAGATTATGCAGGATAGAACAGACCTGGGTTCTCTTTTAGTAACCACTACCATAACTAAGTGAAAATACAAAGATTTTTTTCCACTGTCCTAACCCACTTGTTGCCTGCAGCCTACGGGCAGAAGCCCAGCAATGGTTCAAGTCCACAGTTTGCTTGGGCTTGGGGCACTATGAGAGACTCAGGGGGATGGTCCTGCCATAAATCCAAACCCATGCACTGAAAATGGAACTTGACTGGGCAGGACTGTTACTGTTACAACCCAACCATTAAGATGGTGCCCAGTGTGCCTTAGGAAATACAAGTGTTATGCAAATAGCTGTCATGAGCTTATTTTCTCTTTCAGTGCCTGATGGAAAAATGTGCTGTTCAACTAAAGACAGGCAGTGGGAAAAGAGAGAGAGAGAGAGAGAGAGAGAAAGAGAGAGAAGGGAGGAAGGAAGGAAGGAAGGAAGGAAGGAAGGAAGGAAGGAGAAAGGAAGAAAGGCAGGCAGTAGGAATGATGATTATTCAAGAAGTCTTCAAACTGAGCTACATGTATTTAATTTAAAAGGCCACTCTCTGTTTCAAGAGTTAGTATGCCCCTCTGACAAGAAATAACTTTAAAGCATAGTGATGTTAGTAAATTACGGGTTTTAAAATAATTTTCCTGTAAAACTTGTGTGAGAAAAGATTGTCGGATCTTTGTTTGGAACATCAGGTCCTTTCACAATGTGTTGCTCTGAGCAGACATTCTACTACTGCAGGCCAGAAGAATAAAGCTGGGTTTCACTCCCACCAGCCCTCCTTGCCTTGTGAGGTCTAAGAGAGACTTACCAGCTGTTCGGGTTTCACTTTTCAATATAAAATGGAACTGCAGCAGTATAAACCAATCTTAATTTTGTTTTTTATGTTTTGGTTACTTGGTTTGTTGCTTTGTTTTTCTCTTCTCACTGTTTAGATTTTTACATGTACCTTAATTGTAAAGTTGTAAGCATAGATGAATGTGGGAGAATTTGAAATGCTTTATTTTTTTCCATTGGAATGGAAATTTAATGCTATTTTTAATTCCCTTTCAGAGACCTCCTGGTTACTATACGTAACAGTGTGATAAAAGGCATGTTTGATTTATAACCCAATAGTCTTAGTAGGTTATAAGAACCCTAGAAATCAGTGGCTCCTGCATTTTACAAATGAGGAATCAGACCCCTAGAGAAAGGAAATGGCTCACCTAGGGCATTGCAGCTGCTTAGTGGCAGATATGCATGCAGAATCTGGGTCTCTTGACTTGAGCGGTTCTCTTTCTACAACATCCCCTTTGTTCTCTTCCTTTGTATAATGACGTTCAGCAGATACTAACAACAAACCTGTCACGTGGACTTCCAAACTTTCTGGTGGATGAGTTCAAGTTGTAGACAGTGAGTATGACAATCTAATTTATCCAGTGACTTGCAGATGATGTCCTGTGAATATTGCTTGAAGTCTCCACATACTCATCCTTGAGAGGGCTGTTGGTGTCTTCATTTGAAATACACCTGGAAAGGTCATTCTCACTGTTAAAGACAAATGCCAGATATGGTAACAGAGTTATAATTGCTAATAATAGTATCAATGTGTTCTTTATTCCCTCTCATCAGTGTGCTCATATATATGTATCCCATTTTGCTATTCTAGGTTTGTGTGCTGGAGAGACAAATATTTGACTTCCTTGGATATCAGTGGGCACCTATCCTGGCAAATTTTGTACATATTATTATCGTCATTCTTGGTTTATTTGGAACTATTCAATATAGACCTCGTTACATAAAAGGAGTAAGTACTCTATTTGTCTTTTAAAAATGTTATCGAAATAGAAAAAGATATGAAATGTCTTGATAATGTATATGTATACCCTCTCCTTGACATACTATGTGTTTGTTTTCATAGTTTCAGGTCACATCCACAATAACTTAAAATGTCATGTTTAAAGCACTTGACAGTGAATGTAATCGGATTGTTCTCAGCAAATGTGCTTTATTTACATTTTCTTTTGTAATTAAAAGTAGAACTATACCCAGTATTTCCACATTATAAAGTCTTGGTCTCTGATTTAATAGATTTAATGGGAATTTTTCCCTTTTTAAATCATCATATTTTTAAGTTGAATCAGAATAGTTTAACATTAATACAAAGGAACTTATAGTTTCAGTGTGAAAATATTAACACTTATTAGGGTTGATATTTGTCATACTTGAAAGGCCAGAAGAATCTGGACCAATATCTCTGTGTTCTCCATGATTTCCTTTTTGGCTTAGAGGAATTATTTTGCATTCCCACTCAAGTTAAACTTACTTAACATGAAAGTGAAATCCAACTGTGTTGCAGTTGCTATGGGAACCATGATTTAGGATTTTTTACTTTTGTATGTGCCTCAGATCTCAGCTATAGCTCTTCATTAATGTAGATTTTTTTCAGTCTCATCATTTTTCTGTTTCTTTTTTTTAACAAAAGGAAAAGTCTATAGGCATTTGTTTAAAATATAAAGTGAGTTTGTGGTAAAGGCATACATAGAAGATAGCACAGGTGAAGCTCTGCCTTATTCAACAGAAACCGGCAGGTTGTCTCCGGTTGCACGAAGGCCTCCCTCACATAAAAATTTCCCCTATGACCTTTTCTCTTTGTCATCTGGAATCAAGATAATGCTCCTTGGTTCAGAAATAGGCACTATGATGGCGGGTGGGACCCAGGGGTTCCCTCTCTGGCTAAGGATGAGTGAAAAGTTTATAGTCTCCTCCTCTAAAGTGCACACCCAGAAATAAGGGCATGTCACCTCCAAGGGGGTGTAGCCATGTAAATCTTGTAAAAGACAGATGTGTTCTGTTGCAGAGTGAAGTTTTTCAATGCACAGATATTTGTAGTATGGTTCATTTTCTTATATAAATTGTAATTTGATACAATATATGCACAATATTACAGGGTTTGAGAGTGGGTCTTCTGAAGTCATAATACCTAGTTTGAAATCTTGCATCTGCCAAACTCGTGTGACTTTAGACAGCATAATCTCACTGATTCTTAGTGTTTCTATCTTTAAAATGAAAGCAATAATTACTTTAACTCATATGCTTTAATTAATGGATGCATTATAAGCCATTATGTGAAAGATTCTTAATTTAACTTTCTTTTTATTAGACTTTGAGGCTTCTCCATGATTTTATTCTCATAAATGATGCCATTCTAGTCATCGTACAGATAGATATATCATTTCCATTTCTGATGAGGCCCTTGGGATAAAAATCTAGATGTGGATCAAAATGTTTGTACAGTTTGAAAACACAGAGGTTTTTTTTGAGGAATAAATGAAATATTCTATAAAATAACCTTAGCACAATGCTTGGTGTTTAAGATTGGCCAGTAAATACTAGCTATGTTTTCTCTTATTGCTGTTATTATTTGAAAATAATACTAAACTCTGTAGACTAGCAATAGCCTGGCAGGCAATTTAAAATAGAATAAGGTGTTCCAAGCTGTTAGTTGAACGATTTCTACCCTTTTATTCCAAGCTGCTACAACTCTTAAAATTTTTTGCTTGATTTCTGTGTATCAAATTATAATTCCATCCCTATCTAAAGAATAAAATACATACCCACAAATCTTTTCAAGACACGCTGTTCTCTGTAGCATGAAAGGTAAAAATGGATACCATGGGACATCTTTAAGATTGTTAGAACTTTTATATAGCTCAAAAAGTCTCTGAAATCTTTCTGAGGTCTTAACAATGTGTCTTAGAGCTACATCGCTCATTTGATCTTGACTTGCAGACAGCTTTCTGAATTTAATCTTTTCCTAGAGACAGTGTCTTAACTAGGGAAATCTATTGCCCGCTGACAATATTGTAAATGTGAAACTTTTATTTTCTAAATCAGGACATCCTGAGTTGGACATATATCCTCTAAATTATACTTGAAAAATGAAGTTTTTTTTTCTTTAGCTCAACTTTCTGTTCAACATAATGTTATGTGTGGTTAAAAGGTCACAAGTGACACTGTCAGTTGTTTGCTGGGAAACCCCCTTAGCCAGATCCACATATTTACAGGTGCACTTTCTATCTTCCCAGTTTTTGCAGGCTGTAGTCAGGCTAATTGTCCTGACAATAATTACCACGAGTCCTCTTGTCTCCAGCCCTCTAAAACAACGTCTTGACTCCTGTGTCTGTCTCTCCCAATAGTCTCCTCGCTGTCCTCAGTCCTCTATCTGCCATATTGTCGCAAAACTCATGCTGTGTGTTTCGAGTTTGTGTTACTGTAGCACTCAAGTTTTAGTACCAATTCCTGTTCTAGTTATATAAAAATGTATTTATATATATACACACACAAACACACACATATACGTAAACTTTTATACATATACATATATACATATATGTATACACACTCTAGATATACATATACATAGTAAAGATATTAACTCTTTAAATATTATAAATTTTCATTTTTTGTTTACTATTTTTCTTTTACTAAAATTGACTTCCTTTCCTTTTGTGATATCTTCTATTGCTTTAAACATTGTAAAATTTATATATATTTGAAAAGTATAATGTTAAGTCTTCAATATCTTTAGGTCAAAATCTGCAAAAACAAGAAGGCAGATGCCCTGAAGTAGAGTCTAAGGAAATATGTCCCTTTCCACATTTGCTGTTTATAAAGAGTTTCATTTATTGATAGGATATTTTATTCCATTTAATTGGAAAAATGTCCCCCAAAGCATGTGGACATTGTCTGAAGCACTGAGCACAGTAGCAACAAATGAAATTCTGAGAGTACTGGTAAGTTAAATAATAAAGAAGAAAAAAAATTAAATTCAAAACAATTAATTGGAAAAAGAACTCAGTAGTACCCTTTGAGGGGGCTTCTGGTTTTCAAGGAGTATAATATGTTGAGGGAAAGTAAAAGTAAATTTTTTAATTCCAAGCAAAGGGATTTTGAAGCCAGAATTTATGGAAAGCATCTTTATGTATAATTTCCAACAGTATCAGTCAAAAAATATGTCCTGATTAACTCCAGTGGAATACTCCTAAGTAAATACATGCAGTGGTTACCACAAAAGCATTACCTTATGTCGTAAATGGAATTGTCCAATGCTTCTTCATTTGGGCCTAAGGCAAGCAAAATATGATTTGGGGTATTCAATGTTTATTAGTTAATGACAAGAAAATGTTCATGAATGTGCTCCTTTAAATTTTCTAAAATAATATGAGGAGTGTGTAGGTTTCTAATTGCTAAGGGAATTGCCATTTTCTTGGTGACATTGCCCAAGGACATGTTGCCATAATGCTCAATAATATTTCCATTTTTCCTTTTTCTTCCCTCCCTCCCTCCCTTCTTTCCTTCCTTCCTTCCTTCCTTTTCCTTTTTCCCTCTCTTTCTTTTTCATCTTCTTTGCTTCTTTCTATTTAACAAAGTTATTTTAAGTTATTTTGAAAGAATGAAGAATATCTTAGAGAGTTTGGACTCACTGGCTTAATGGAAGAAACCCAGTCCCCAAACTAGAAATAAATTCAAAATACCTAAAAATGCATTACTCAAAGTTCATAAAAACAGAGAAGAGGAGAGCATACCAAAATCATAGTAATATTTGTAAGAGTCATATTTCTGTTACTCTTCACCTAGATATTTTTTTACAAATCCTTTAAACCTCACCTGAACGTCACAAAACTTTTGCCTAAACTCATATAACTAGGAAATAGTAAAGGTAGGATGTAGACCCAGGTCGTTCTAACTGCCATACCCATGCTCTTAACCACTCCCTGAGCTGTCCCTCTGTCAGTGAGGGCACACTCTACATTTTCTCTAGAAAAAAACTGTGATCCTGCTGCCGTGCTTCCTAAATCTGCCCGTGTGCCAAGGTGAGTGGTTTTCATTGTCAGGTACAAGTCTTATCAGACTCCTCAGCTTTCTGGTACCCTTCCAACTGCCAGGTGACTGCCTGTTAAAGCTCTTGGACCTCCAGTTAACCAGTATTAGAGACTATCTGCATTCCTAGTACTTTTTAGCAAGACCTCGAAATCACTGCTTCTCAATACAAGCCAAAGTTCAGTTAAAAAACATGGTATTTATGGAAAATTGGCCAAAGGGTAAGTGGGCCATGGATTCTCTCACAGCCTCTGTAACCTATTCTATACAAACAGTGCTTCATACCTGCACTGTATCAGTTTAGTTCTTTCAGGTTATTTTTACTCCTGAGCTTTATTTTAGCAATATGTCAATTAACCTACATTAAATTATTTTATAAGGAATGTATGACATTTATCTACTTAAAATTTTGTTGAAAACGTTGCTTTAAACACAAGAAAAATCTCTTTTGTCTTAATCCTAGGAATAATAATACTTTCCTTATGTTTTATCTTATGGACCCACTTAATTTATTAAAAAAAACTTTATAGATTTGTGTTCTTATAAAAGTGATACTAAATTATTTTACCGTACCATATTTATTTTGTACTTGCTGTGTACAAAATAGTCTCCTAGGCACTGTGACTTCTGGTTTTTATTTCAGCATTGTAAAAACCAGAGTCTAAGCTGCTATGAGGAATGCAGACGACACATAGGCAATAAGTCACAGGATGGTGGTACACTGTAAAAGTTTTATGTGTGTGTCTGCATGTCCATGTGTACACACACACGCTCTGATACTTTATGTACATAGTATACTCTCTTTACTGAGCTCACAATTAGCCTACCTTGACATTTGAATAATAACAGTTGATATAATATAATTATCAGTTACTAACCTGGAGAAGACCGAAGAAAGATAAGGGCATTTGGATCCAGAAAAAA